AAGAATATTGTGGGAGACTGTATCAAAAGCTTTGCTAAAGTCAAGGTATATCACAGGAGTGACCAATCTGAGCCTGAGAAGGAGCCAGAATTTACCAATGTACATTGCCAAAGAGCTACAGTAATACGTTAGCAGCCCCCCCACCCCACATCAGCCCCTGCGCCCTGCTCCCAGCACCTCCTGCCCACCGGCAGCCCTTCTGATCAGCGCCTCCCCCTCCCTCCCCGCACCTCCCGATCAGCTGTTTCGTAGCATGCAGGAGGCTGGGGGGGAGGGGGGAGGGGGAGGAATGAGGGCATGGCAGACTCAGGGGAAGGGGCGGGAGGGGGTGGAGTGTGGTCAGGGTCTGTGGGCAGAGCCAGGGGTTGAGCAGTGAGCACCCCCCGGCACATTGGAAGGTTGGCACCTGTAGCTTCAGCCCCAGAGTTGGTGCTTATACAAGGAGCCGCATATTAACTTCTGAAAAGCCGCATAAAGAACAGGAGTGCTTGTGGCACCTTAGAGACTAACAAATTTATTTGAGCATAAGCTTTTGTGGGCTACAGCCCACTTCATTGGATGCATGTACTGGAAAATACAGTAGGAAGATTATATATATATATACATACATAGAGAACATGAAATAATGGGTGTTACCATACACACTATAAGGAGAGTGATCAGTTAAGGTGAGCTTTTATCAGCAGGAGAGAAAAAGAACTGTTTGTAGTGGTAATGAAAATGGCCCATTTCCAGCAATTGACAAGGAGATGTGAGGAACTGTGTGTGTGTGTGTGTGTGGGGCGGGGGAATAAACATGGGGAAATAGTTTTGCTTTGTGTAATGGCCCATCCACTCCCTGTCTTTATTCAAGCCTAATTTAATGGTGTCCAATCTGCAAATTAATTCCAATTCAGCAGTCTCTCATTGGAGTCTGTTTTTGAAGTTTTGTTGTTGTAATATTGCGACTTTTAGGTCTGTAATCGAGTGGCCAGGGAGATTGAAGTGTTCTCCAACTGGGGTTTTTGAATGTTATAATTCTTGACATCTGATTTATGTCCATTTATTCTTTTACGTAGAGATTATCCAGTTTGGCCAATGTACATGACAGAGGGGCATTGCTGGCACATGATGGCATATATCACATTGGTAGATGTGCAGGTGAATGAGACTTTGATAGTGTGGCTGATGTGATTAGGTCCTATGATGGTGTTCCCCTGAATAGATATGTGGACAGAGTTGGCAATGGGCTTTGTTGCAAGGATAGGTTCCTGGGTTAGTGTTTTTGTTGTGTGGTTGCTGGTGAGTATTTGCTTCAGGTTTGGGCGCTGTCTGTAAGCAAGGACTGGCCTGTCTCCCAAGAGCCGCATGTGGCTCTGGAGCCACAGGTTGGCCACTCCTGGTATATCCTGTCCACCACTTGCCCCATATCCACAGAGTCAGTTATCTCATCATAGAAGGCAATCAGCTTGGTCAGGCATGACTTGCCCTTGGTGAATCCATGTTGACTGTTCTTGATCACCTTCCTCTCCTCCAAGTGCTGTAAAATGGATTCCTTGAGTACCTGCTGCATGATTTTTCCAGGGACTGAGGTCTGTAGTTTCCTGAATTCTCCTTCTTCACTTTTTAAAAGACAGGCACTATATTTGCCTTTTTCCAGTCATCCATGACCTCCCCTGATTGCCATGAGTTTTCAAAGATAATGGCCAATTGCTCTGCAATCACATCAGCCAACTTCCGCAGCATCCTTGGATGCATTGCATCCGGCCCCATGGACTTGTGTATGTCCTTGTTTCCTATCTTTTAACCAGTTAAATCAGTTTAACAAAAGAGTAGGATCACTTGATAACTGCCCTACTTTGGCTGAAGTGTCTGGCACCGGTCCATTAGTCTGACCCAGTATGGCCATTTTTTTATTGTTATGATTCATTTAAACCAAAACTGGACAGAGCACTGGAGATTATACTGAACGATCTTCCTGAGATAGATAGAATGCATAAGATACATAATAGGTCTTTCCATTTTTAAATTTGTATAAGGAAAAACTTTATAATCTTTTCTTTATCCTCCAGGTAATTCTGCTCCCTCTCTTTAGAAATTTCTAATCAGTAAAAGGTGAGAGGGTGAAGTGGAGACAATGGCAACAGCAAAGTTTTCAAGAAAAATCTAATTGTTAGACCACCAACTGTACTATTATCTTCAACCCTGATGAAGGTTTGCTGTGAACATAAGTAGATTGCATGAAGGAGGACAATGGCTCAGGGGAATTGTGGGAGTGAGAGATTGAGTCTTTCACTTTTAGGTCATCTATTCTAATTCTGACTCAGTTCACAAAGGAACAGCTGACTCATGGAGATCATGGAATGGGTGTGGAACCTTTCACCTTTAGGATACCGCCTTCCATTTGGTCCCTCATTGTGGAGGCTTAGGGTGATCAATGAATCAGCTGTAGAGCCTTTTAAATATAGGGCACTTCTTTTAATCAAGCCTCAAACTGGGCTGTGGAAGTGGGGCCAGGCAACCTGTCACTTCTAAATTACTGGTTCCAGGCTGGTTGCAAGGGAAATGAATACCTAACTGGGATTTAGGAATAGGATATAGACATTTCATTTCCAGTGCATTGGCTCCATTCCAATTCCATGCTGCTACATACTTTAAATTGTTCCTATCTAATGATTGTTCATGACTTTTTAAAATAATTGGGGGTAAGAGTGGTTGTTGTTTGTTGGTATTTGTAATGTGGGCAGTTAGCCATTAGGAACTGGGCTATCAAAACTGGCACTCTTGTTGGCAGTCTGATCAGAGAGGCCCAGGACTGAAATGATCAGAGTGACTGAATTACCCTCTCATCTCCATAAGCATATTGATAGGGATGGTATATGTCTGTGTAGTTTGCACTGTCACTGCTTGTGCTGTTGCTGTTCTGAGATCAACACACAACTTGAGTTAGCAGGGCTGTCAATCCACTACCTTTCACCAGAGCTAAAAATATCTACTTAAACAAAAGTATTTAAACAATGCTGTGTTTTCTTTATGATGTGAAAAGGAAGAAAGAGAGAGAGAGAGAGTTTTCTCCTAGCAGAAATGTTTGTTTTTCACAAGAGAAAATCTGAAAGTGTCCTGTCCCTTGAACCAAACAGGAAGAGGGGCAGGAGAGTGGAACAGGGAGGGGGACCATGTCCTGAGCTCTGAACTCTGAACTCTGCAAATACCTACTTCAACCAGTCTGACTGGAAGAGCACAGGAAATAGATTTAAAAGGGGAAATCAATAACAACTGAAGCAGCTGCTCAAAAGCAGGCTTAGAATATGAACCCCGTATCTCTCCCACCATTCTGCCTAGAGTCAGGAGGTGGGAGAAATTAGACTGGAAGAAGGGAAGCAGGTTGTCTATTAATAGAAACAGGAAACTTGAACATGTTCCCCAGGGTCTCCATGAGGAATGTAACCATAGGTGTCACCTCATAGACCTTGCACCCTGATTAAATAGAGAATAGATCATCAGCTCTTTCTATCATCTTTCAAGAGGGAACAGGGTGTACAATGGAGTTCCTGCTGTTTTCACAGAAGAGACACCCCTCAGATTCAACTCATCTGCCCTTGCACCAGTGTTAATTAGAAATAGTGCCTGGAGTTTGCACTGATGAAGTTATATCAATGTCTGTAACTGGGGCAAATCTTCAAGGCAGATAAGGCCTCACTGGTTCCTAGTGAGCAAGAGTCATCACAAAAAAACCCCACTTTCATTGACACTAATTTTCCCTTACTGCCAGTCTCATTAGAAAGCATTGATGGACCAGAGAATCAACAACGCTCTTTCCTACTTAAGACAGGCAGGCTGTACAGTGAAGGGCTAAGGCACGATGGTCGAGGGAGGTGTGGGGAGCACCGCCACCATCTGTGCTCAATCTCTTCTGTGGATAAATCAATTTCCTCATTCTCCCGCATTGTCAAACCATCATCTTTTACCACCACTAATATCTACCCAAAAGAAAATCATAAGCACAACACCAAAGTGTTAATGGGGAAATGGTTTATTCTGCTCCAGGAGGTTGATTGTGATCATATCAGCATGCATCTCTCTCCAAAGCCACCTGCAGCATGTTATTGCCTAGGAAATGGACTCTGTGTCTCAACAGCAGGTGATATGTAATTTCCTGTTGTAATATAACCGCCACGCACTTTTATTAAATAGCTGAGCAAATAACCCTGTACCCATTCGCATAACTTGATAGCAGTAACATGAAACTCTAATGGAAGGTTTTACAGTGGCAGCTGAGGTGACTTCTGGAACTGGAATAGCAGTGTGTGCTGCAGATCAGGATTGAGGTGCACTGACTGAGCTGGGTGTGTGACATAGGACTTGAATAGCAGGCGGAGCTGCTAGTCAGGAATCGGAAATGAGATGCATTGGAAGAGGTTTGTGAATATCTGAAATAGCTGTATTGAGATGAAGAGCTGTGGTAGGTCAGGTCTGAGGGGCATTGACAGAGCTGTGTGTGAGCCTAGGACTGCAATAGCAGAGGGGCTGCAGGGTAGGACTGAGGTGAAGTGGCAGGTTTATATGTGAAGAAAGCTTGCACTGCCTCTGTCTATATGGCCAGCCTACCCAATGTTATCAGTTTTGTCTCCCTCTCTGAGTCACTAATTCACCCACAAAGGGAGGGAAAAAAAGTAGAATAAATATTTGGAAAAATCTCTGCATATTGTCCTTCAGGATCTGTTCTGCCTGAGAAAGGTTCCCTGGTGTCTGGAGCCTTTAGCTTTTGGGATTTTTTTGGTACAGATTCTTTATTCTGTGCACCAATTCTTTCTGAAAAATATGACAGAAGTGTGTGACTTTTGGTGTTTTCTTGTTCCCCAGTTTCTCTTTTTCATTCTTTCTCTGTGCCTCTGTTGATCTGTGTTTGTGTCTGTCTTTTTTTCTCTTTCTTGCTTACTATGTTCTGAGGTCCCCGCCCCAGGACTCTCTCTGGCCTTTGCTGTCAAAGCTGCAGGGGGTATTTGTATGTGGAAGAGCCAGGCAGACCCGTTTTACCAGTGTGTGTGTACCAGTCAGCCAAAGTGTTAGAAATACAATCACATGATCTCCCTGGGGAGACAGCTGAGAAGACTTTGAGGAGCAAAGAAGGGAAGTTGGGCAGGTCCAGGGTACGAAAATCACCAGGAAGGAACTAGTCCCGGGAAACACACAACATAGCCGTCAGCACTGTTGTGAGATGCCTAGGAAAGAAGCAGCAGATTGGAGCTTCAGGAAAAGGCTACAGTGTCAGTAGAAGGGGTTTAACTCAGGTAGGCAAGAGAAAACACTGCTGGAAGCTAATAGATGATGTATATTTAAACCTTTGAAAGAAATTTTACTCGTGTGTCATCCAGCCTATGCTGTGGCTCTTTAGCTATTCAGCTGTTTGTGCTGAGAATACCTGTCTTTGTAAATGCCAGTGGTAATGGTGATGTTGGGGCAGTGGGGTTGGGGGAGAGGGAGGGAAGAAAGGAGCTGTGTAGGGGACATGCATCTCAGTTCTATCTAAGTGAAATGACTTCTAGGGGACTTTTTGGATGAAGAGGAAGATTTTTGCACAAAATTAAAGTCTGCCCATCAGAAACAAGGGAGTTGAAAACTCTAATGTAAAGAGATGCTGTACACATTGTATATAAGTTCTGTGTTATGTATGTGTGATACATACCTATGGACCTGATTCTGATCTAATTTACATTAGGTTTACATCATATATATCTGGTTCAGGGTAGAAAGCATGTCCATTTTATGACGAGCTGGACTGAATCCTCAGAACTCACCCTTCAGTGCAGCTTGAGGAGCTGTGTAATAGAATGGAAGCAACTTGCAATGACAGGTGAGGGATAAAGGGGACAATAGTTCTTGCTCTATGGTCTATGGGCTTGTCTACATTTAAAATGCTGCAGCAGTGTGGCTGCACTGATGCACTTGCGCCTTTGTAGTGCTTCAGTGAAGACTTAACTTATGCTGACAGGAGGGCTTCCCCTGTCAGAGTAGGTAATCCACCTCCCTGAGAGGCAGTAGCTATGTTGATGGGAAAAGCCCTCCCCCCCCCAAAAAAAATTTAGTGCTGTCTACACCTGGAGTTAGGTTGGTATAGCCGTGTCTCTAAGGGCTGGTCCACACTAACCCCCCAATTCGAACTAAGATACGCAACTTCAGCTACGTGAATAACGTAGCTGAAGTCGAAGTACCTTAGTTAGAACTACAAGGTACTTACCGCGGGTCCACATGCGGCAGGCAGGCTCCCCCATCGAATCCGCGTACACCTCTCGCAGAGCAGGAGTAACGGCGTCGACGGCAAGCACTTCCGGGATTGATTTATCGCATCTAGACAAGACGCGATAAATCGATCCCAGAACATCGATTGCTTACCGCTGAACCCAGAGGTAAGTATAGACGTACCCTAAGTGGTGTGGATTTTATACCATCATAAGTTGCTAGTATAGATCAAGCCTGAGTGTACAGAGGGACATTGCCAGGTTTTCAGGATCTCTCCGGGAAGTCCCAGGATCTAGACAGCCAGTAGAAATGATAGCGGGGGTGTTCTGAAGGAAGAAGAGGAATCAGCAGACAAGGGGCCCTGTACACCAGGTATGTAGCTTTTGATTAAATATGTTCTGATGGGGGCCAGTTTTGCAGGCTTAAGGGCTGGGGGAAACGTTATTATGAATGTTTCCTTTAGTAAAAAATAAGTTTTCCTTGTCATTAATTTCAGTCTGTTGCCCCTTTTTACCTGAACAGTTAGCCAGTATGTGGGGCCTTGCTGGGTTGTTTCTGTCAGCAACCATTTCGGATGCTACATTTCAGATATCAGAGGGGTAGCCGTGTTAGTCTGAATCTGTAAAAAGCAACAGAGGGTCCTGTGGGAGGTCCACTTCCT